GCTCAGGATGAAGTGGGACACTGCAGCCCTTTTAAGCTAAGGTCTTTTCAGTTTCTCACTTTGAGGCAAAATTCATTCAGTGAATAGGCTACTTTAACAAGTGAGTCAAGGGATGGCCCTTTTAATAAAAAAAAATCAAACTGGGAGGGGAAGAGCCTCAGAGTTGTTGGTCAAAAGAGAAATAGTTATTATTTACATTCACTCTGAGCCTGGAGGCAGCTATTCACTCATTCAAATTGGACAACAGGTCCCTACCCAAGCACCACTTAAAAAAGCTGGCAACAGACTTCTACTGGAGGGTAAATGGGGAAACCAGTGTTTTCCAACTTGTCTGCTGATACTAGATGCTGGTGGACTAACTGCCTAACCCAACTGCCAAAACAACAGCTCTGAGTAAAAAAAGGAAGTAGGGATCCCCAAGATATATAACAGTATTTGTGAGAACCACATTTCTTCCTTATTAATCCTTATCCTTCCTGATCACATTTGCTGTCGGCCTCCTTAAAACACTCTTTCCCTTAGTTTCAGTAACACTATGTTATCTTGGCTCTTCCTCTATGACAATTCCTCCTTGGTCTCATCTTATTGCCCCTTAACAAAGGCTGAGGACACTCAGCTCTTTGCCCTTCTGTATGTTTACTTATTCATGGAAATTGTCCTCCCCCAGAGCCTCAATTATCACCTTTTGCTTGGATCACTATAACCACCTAACTAGGTTCAATCTATTTTTAGTGCTGTCAGACTCATCTTTCTTAGATGCCAATTTCCTTCAAGCCATTTCCCTGATAAGTGGCTCTCAATTAGAAATTACAATCTTAAAACCCGGCCTTTAATTTCTTGTATAAAATTTGGCTCAACCTTATTTATCCAACTTTCCCTATGTCCGAATATTTTCTGCTTCAACCAGGAAGTTATCCTCACTGTCTATCGCACCAATTTCTACCTTGAAGCCTTCATTCATCCTATTTCTTTTATCTTGGAATTATTCTCCACTTATTTAACAGAATAACTACCCTTAAGGTCTAACTTTAAATTCTACTTCTACATGAAGCTTTACTCAGTATCCTGATAACTTAATCTTTGAATTACAGTTTGTAGTACTTGATTTAATACTATTTTATTACTTAAGTAAAACAATAGATTAGTCAAAATATTCCTTAGATGAATACTCTCATTTTATCAGAGAACTGAGACCCAAAGAGGTTAATGATTTACCAAATCAGTTTGGCAGAGCTGGGATTAGAAACCAGTTCTCTAGACTCACAATCCAAAGATCTTTCCATTGTTATATTCTCAATAAATGACCATTGGACATGTATCTCTCTCGTGCACTCTGCAATCCAGCCACACTGGCCTACTGGTTTTCATACATGACACTCCATATCCTATCTCCATTCATTTGCACTGGCTACCTCATAAGGCCTGAAATATACTCCCTCCTTACCTACACCTAAGTCCCTCTCTTCCTTTAAAAGGTACCTGAAACGTCATCTTCTGCATGATACCTGTCTTGTTCCCTCCTAATGCTAGTTGCCCTCCCCCTAAAACTACCCTGTATTTATTTGCATTAGTTCACTTTGTATTTATGCTGAAAATATGTGCTTTCCCACCCTCTCAGAATGCTTCTTGTGAAGGGCTGTTTCATTCTTTGTAACTACATCTCCAACATCATGAACAATACGAAGTATAGGATATTGTGTAAGATAAAAATGTCCCTGTTCTGAAGGAGCTAATGCTCTAAACAGGGAGAAATTATGCATACACACATACATATATACACATATGTATCCATATACAAAGCACATAAAAGGCAAAGGAGGGGGCAAGGTTGTGAAATCATCTAAATGCCAAACTTAAGAATTTACATTTGATCCTAGAGGCAACAGGAAACCCATAGAATTTATTGATTGTGGGCAAGGAAATAATATGATTAGATCTGCACTTTAGAAAATTCATTAGTAGCCATGTGGAGGATGAATTAGAGAGAGAAGAAACTTCAGGTGTGGGGGAAAATTAGGAATCCATTGTATACCGCTACTAGATCTGTATCCTAAAGAGATCAAAGAAAAAGGAAAAGGACCTATATGTACAAAAATATTTATAATAGCTTTTCTGTGGTGGAAAAGAATTGGAAACTGAGAGGATGCTCATCAATTGGGGTATGGCTGAACAAGTTGTGGTATATGATTGTGATAGAATACTATTCTGCTATAAGAAATGATAAACAGAATGGTTTCAGAAAAACATGAGCAAGACTCATATGAACTGATACAAAGTGAAGCGAGAAGAACCAGAACATTGTACATAGTAATGGAAATATTGTAATAATGATCAACTGTGAAAGACTTAGCTATTCTAATCAATACAATGATCCAAGACAATTCCAAAGGATCTATGATAAAAAATGCTATCCACCTCCAGAAAGAGAACAGATGAAAGAATTCTGTGTATAGATTGAAGCATACCTTTTTCATTATCTTTTTTCCCCAATATGGTTAACATGAAAATGTCTTGCATGATTTTATATAATTGATAGCATATTGCTTGCCTTCTCAATGGGTGTGGGGAGGGACTGAGGGAGGAGAGAATTTGAAACTTAAAATGTAAAAAGAATTAAAAATAATTTTTTTAGGCAATTGGGGTTAAGTGACTTGTCCAGGGTCACACAGCTAGTAAGTGTCAAGTGTTTGGTCTGAGGCAAAATGTGGGGTTCTAATATTTGTAATTTGTCACTTTAAAATCTATTGCTTATAACTCATATTTTATTATTCAGTTAGAAACAATAAGAATGGTTTAAGTCTCATCTTTTGTTTCTTTACTAACGGATATTAACATATCTCTAAGTCATCTGCGAACAACAAAATCATTACAGCAGGTTCTATTAAATGCAAACACTTTAGAAAGTTGCAGGTAAGGAGAAGGGAGTGATGGTAGGAATAATGAGAAAGCCTCTAAAAAAGAGCAAAAATTTCTAGACCTAATGGTAGTTTTAAGACATTCCATATATGGATGTCAAAGTTCTGGATAACTTTTAATGGCAATAATAATGAGATAGATATTATAGATTAGAAAATAGGGAAATGAAGTATGTGACACAAAGGAAAGAGGACCTATTAGTTAATCAGTCAAATAAGAATTAATTAAGTGCTTATTATGGGCCAGGCACCAGAATACAAAGAATAGCAAAAACAGTCCTTGCCCTCAAGGAGCTCACATTCTAATGGAAGAGACCACATGCAAATAAGTAAGTACATACAAGATGCCTACAGAGTAGGCAGAAGTTAACTTTTGAGGCAAAGGCTCTAGCAGCTGAAGTACAAGTAGAGGGGACAATAGAAAAGTCACTTCTTTGGGAGACTTCATTATCTATAAAGAGGCTATAAGAGTGAGAAGACCTGAGTTCAAAATCTGACTCAAACATTTATATTTACTCACGTCACTCTGGGCAAGTCAATTCATGTCTATATCACTCTGGTGCAGGGAGTTCTTGGACTCAAAGTTCTAATACAATCACAGATCTTTCACTACTACTAAAATGGTATTAAGCAACTACACTCAAACAAGGATTTTAATTTCAAAAGACAGTCAAAAGTATGACAAAACTTTATCTAAACTGGCGTTTATTAAGCACCCAGTGTATGCATAGCACCACTAGTTAAGGTTTTTAAAGTAGTTCCTAAGCAATGTTACAATTCAGTTATTGAGATAAACCACAAGTGTGTATATGTATGTATGTAGTTTCCAAAAAGCAGAGAATGATACTAATGATACACCTATTACTAGACTATTCTAAAGAATCAGAAAAAGAATGAAGAAGTAGGTATTGAGGATGGCTTAAAAAGAAGCAAAGGGTTTGGATTAGTGGAGAGGTGGGAAGAGTTAATAAAGAAACAGAAAGGCTCTGGTGCACATACAGGAAGACAAAGGTTAGCCTAGACTGAAATGGACAGTCCACGACACTTCAAACACTATATTTGGGGCGGGGTGGGGGGAGTGGGGGGAGCTTCACAGGCAGATACTAAATGCTCTCCAAATTCATAATCACACATTTGGGATTTTACATGAATGAAATGGGAGTAAGAAGGTAGGTTTACTTGATAAAATCATAAGCAGCCAGAATTAAGGGAGCTAAGCAGCAGATAAAGGTCATGATACCAATCACTGTTAGGAAAGAAAGGAAAGGCAAACCAACCAACCAACCACTAGACTACTGAGTGGCGGAATTGGACTGTGGAAAGGGCACTAGATCAGCAATCTGAGGGCCTGAGCTGAAATTCCAAACCTGCAGTTTAGAATCTGTGTGCCCTTGGATTAGGCATATAAACTCTTTAGATCTTGGTTTCTTTCCTCCTTTGTAAAATAAGAGGGTTGGACTATGATCCTGTGACGCTATCAACAGAGATGAGGTGCTTACTCTTGGAAATAGACATTCAAAAAGCCAGGCATTTGCTGGGATTTCAGCAGCCTTTAAGTTACCCACTAGACAAAAAAGCCTCATCCAAATGAGCCTTCTGATTTTGGGAGAATGGTTACCATTGATGTGAGACATAATTTTCTAAAATCAAAATGATCTGCATTCAGGGTAGCTGATCTGAACTCTAGGGAGGCTCATTTCATATGTACTGTCATTGCTTAGAGTATATGTCAACAGGAATAGCTGGCCTAGATATTTCTATGTTTAGTAACATTTCCCAATTAAAACTACAACATCTGAACAACTAGCAATGGTTAACACTATAAAAGGTTACCATTTCTGAGGTAGGAAAAAAAGAGTAGTAGAGAATTTTTACTTGGAACTTATGAAAGTCTACCTTCTGTCTCACAGTAGGTCTCTTCAGAAGAACTTAAAAAAAACTTATCATTTTGTGATAATGTAAGTAAGCATCACAATTTTCAAAAGGACAACACATCTTGTCATACAGTGGCTAAAAGAAGTACTTCAAACTACTCCATGTATATATCAAGTGTTGAATTACAATAAAAACACTGACAACATAACATCAGTGGAAATGGAGCCATTATAATTAACCTTCTTACAACAGAAGATATAATGTGAAACAGTAAATATGGTTAACAATTTTACTTAGTCTTGTTTTTTACAACATAAGGCAAAGAAAATTACTCCATGTCAGTATCTTCCCAATAGCTTTTAAAAAAGTAACTTATATGTTTCATAGCTGTACAAACATACAAATAGTCAAATCTGATTTGTCATCTCTGCATATGTACACCTGAACATTTCTGTAGTTTACTATTTACTTGTGAAGCATTCTCATAAGCTATTCCCACCAAGCAAGCTCCTTGCTCTGTAAGAGGTAAGTTTTAGCCTTTTTTTTTTTAATGGACAAAATTATGCTAATTTCTAAGCATAAAGAAGTGGAACACCTGCCTAAGCACCACTGAATCTGAGTTCAGTCTCATGGAAGTATTCTCTTCTACTTTCTCTAAATCCTAATACCTACTGAAGACTCTTCAGAATTTTCTATAATGCCGCATATTCATATGTAAGAAATAAAAAATTCTGAGTAGTAGAATCCTATCTCACCATATGATATCAGCATAAAATTTGTTTGGATATTAGCAGCCAAGTTTACCAAAATGCAGGCACCCAAATTCTCCAAATCTTGAACAGAACTTGTCAAGAGAAGCTTTCACTGCTAGGAATTCAAATTTGTTACACTAGCATGTGTACAGAAAATGCTGTATACCCTCCCCCCACCCCCCAAAAAAGGAGTATTTGTAACATAGGTTAAAGCCCATTACAAAAAACTCCCAGGCACTACAATTTGTTGTATTATTACTTAGATAAATCTGTGAAAGGAGAATGTTACAAACAACAGTGAAGTATAGAATGGGTAAAATGGATGAATTAAACAGAACAGTGAATTCTGAACTTTTAAATTAACCAACAATAAAACATTTCACACACCAAATGTCAGTCATTATGCACTTTCCTCAAGCTTAGCAACTAATAAAGCCTTTAAGCCTTGGCCTAGTAAAGGCTTGATGTAGTCACTAGCACATAGCATAAGGTCCCAGTGTCTATGAGAATGATAGAAATATACGAGGCAGGGTGCCGTAGCAGGATACCTAGGTTCAAATACTGCCCCTGATATTACCACTGACCATTAATAAGTTGGTTCCTTCATCTTGCAAAAACAGAATAATAACACTTCCATGATTGACCTCACAGGGTTTTGTGAGGAAAGCACTTTTTAAAAAACCATCAATTGTTATTTTACAAGAACTCACTAGTAGCCTATATAAGAAACTGAGCTGAGTAAGGCTGTTAATTTAAGGAAACAAATAGAACCACCTTGGAGGTTTGGGAGAGAAAAGGGTAAACAAGAAAATACAAATTTCAATAAGGTAAACAGGGATTTCAGGAAACTGCATTCTATTTTAAAGAACCCGAAATATAAACTGATGAAAATATAGCAAAGTACCTCTATCTACAGTCTATAGTTAATACATTAAGGTCAACAAATAAATGGGGCATTTGTTCAGAAGACATGGCAAATAAGCTCAATCTATAAAAGAAGTTGGATTTCCAAGTAAACTTTTAAAGAAAAGGAAGGAAGGTATTGGCACTAAGAAAACTGGCTCAGAAAATGCATGATGTTCAATGAAGATTACCAAATACTGAGAATAGCCCACATCTTCAAATACCTTTCAAAAAATTTCACATAATAGGAAATCTGTTATGGTGTAATTTTCTGTAGATTTGAAGCTATCTAAAAATAAGAACAGAATTAAGTTAGTAAAGGTCAGGTCTCATTAGGGCAATCATCAGTCCAACATATGCCTAATCATAGCAAATTCTGTTGTAGGATCTGCTGGGCTCCTTTGACCTAAAAAGCTTTTGCTGTTGTCTTTTAATAAAGGAGATAATTACTTAAAAACACTGGGAGCTACGTTGACAAGCCAAATGTATATATGATAATATGCAAGATGACATTTATCAGATGGACTTAATAGCTGTTGCAAATAAATTTTAGGCAATTCTTGAACACAGACTCTGAGTACTTTCTACCAAAAACAGTACACTGAGCATGAAAAGCACCAGGAAGCAAGTTTTCAGTACAATGGTATGGGGCTTAACCCATTGATCACGTATACTGTATAACTTATCTCAAGTTTACACTTTTTGGTCTGGACTTGTGATTTGATTAATGGAGAGAATTCCTGGTAATGGAAATTCCCTCTGCCAATGCAGACAGCAACTGTTTTGCACTCTATAGTTTTAGAATCAAGAAGACCTAGTTTCAAATACTGACAGGATGACCCTGGGCAATTCATTTAACCTCTCAGGGCCCCAATCCAATCTCAGAGGTTAGTTCTCTATCCAGTATGTTTTGCTGCCTCTTGATTGCATTTAATTTTGTTCAATTTCAAATAATTCTTCCTGTCACATTAAGATTTAATAGAAATAGTAATTTTTAGTCAATAGAATCTTTAAGTTTCAAAATGTGGCTTTTCTTTTTTTCCTACCATTAATGCTTTGGGGAAGTTGCAGAGTGAAAACAATTTAGTTTTTTCTACGAATGAAATTTTAGAAATCTTGCTCATAATATGCAAAAACAAATAGCATGCAAAGTTATAGTTCAGAATTCCCTTAAAATATACAACTTTCTCTTCGACCCATTTACATTATGTTTATTTTATAAAAGATCAGGCTTGTTACATGGAAACTGTTTTCATGTAAAATGCTTTACTGACTCCAATATTTTTTGGAGTTTTTCTTAATTAAACATTATGAAAAAAATACATGGGAACTTAACTGCATTAGTTTAAAACATCATCTTTGGGCTAAAAAACTTTAACGTACATGTAAAGCTCCTTTGAATGATTACTTACCAACCCCACTCCTGTTCCCAAGCGGTATAAACAAGCATCCATCCTTTCATACACAACACTACCTTCCTTACAGAGACATGGCAAAGATAATACACACATAACTTAACTCCAGTCCAATCAAAAAAGTGCTGAGCTGGTAGAGACTGGCCATTCCTGCCTATAATATTTGGGATTGCTCTTCATTTCTCTCCTTGTTCTGTGATTAGGGATTGGAAACATCTAAAATTTCATGAGCCAGAAAATCTGCTGCCATTTTAACTGTGTCCCAATAATTTAAAAGATTACCAATCTGATTGTGCTTTAGAATCAACAACATGGCATACTTCTCATAATATTGCAGGGTTAGGGTTAGAAGAAGGAGAATTTCTATTTTTAGGTATTTTAATACTTAAGAAAAAAGCTTACTCAGCTAAGTCGTGGTCCTCTCTCTCAAAACAATTAAGAATAGATCACAGTATGGGATCTCCTCAGAGATCAATCTCCTTCATTTTACTTATGAGGAAACTGAAGCTCAGAGAGGCCAAGTGTCTTGCTTAAAGTCAGCTAGATTGAACTAGAACTAAAACACAAGTCTACCTCATGACTCCAGTGAGGTGGCTCTTCTACTACACTAGCCTGTAGCTATTCACCAGGCACCTTGGAGAGGCCAGGAGGAGGAAATATGACATAATTCTATCACTGCTACATTACATGCATTCATCACAGTTAAGACTTCAATGTTATATAGTATTGGGTAGTAGAGCAGACAAATTTTTGAAAGTCAGAAAGTGTTTCATGAACTATCCTAGAACCTAGATCTCCCCTGTCTCTGCATTCCTTGCCCCATGAAAATCATACATCTAAAAGGGAAGAATTAAAAGTTACAAGCTTAGGTTTATCTGCATTGGATTGGAATGATGGTGCTATGGAACCAAGGCCTAAAAATTTCTTATCTAGGAGCCCTCAGACAACATATTAGGAATTTATTTCCTACTTTATAAATTATATTAAGATTAAAGTTAAAGCTGAATTTTCATTTTCAAAGAGTATCTGTATTTTTAGAGATTTCATAAGTATAATTTATCACTCTGAAAACTAACATCAGTTACATGTTTTTGCCTAATCTTACCATTACTGAGGGCAAATACTCCTTTCAAAGACAAGTCATAAGTCTCCTAAATTAAAATTGTTTTTCATGAAAAAAAGCTGCATACTAAAACACAAAACAAAAACAAACAACCAAAAAAACCCTACATAAAAACTGGCCTTTGTTTCAACTCACCTACAGTAAAAAAAATTATAGTTCATCATTACGAATATCTGTGAACCTTTATTTTTACTGAGAATTAAAATGAATTGTTGAAATGAACCCAAGAACTATCAAGATGAGATTTAAGTCTTCATCTGTGAACCTGAAAATTTTTCAGTTACAGACCTGAAACTGTGTACAAACATGAGGGCTTTAGCTTGTTTCAGAGGAAAAAAATTACTTTCCTAAGTGCAACACATCCTATGCATTCTCACATTATTCCAACAACAAACTGCAGAAACTATTAAAACTACAGCTTTGATTGACACATAGTTTTAAAATCTAATTTAAAATATACTTCACTTAAGCATCCATGATTTCATCAATATGGATTCCTTGCACTGATGTACAATTTTTCTTCCAGAGTTTCTGTGACTGCAAAAGTCTCTCCAAATTTAGCCAGACTGGTCCTTAGACAAAGATATATTTCATCACTGACTACAACACAAAGCCTTTCCAACTTGGTAAAACCAAGTATATTTAAAATATACTTTTATTTAAATTGTGTATTTAACAATATACAATAAATTTGGAAAATAAAACATCAGGAAGAGAGCATACTGGAATCAATGTGACTTGGAGGAAGCCATTAAAGGGACCTATGTTAGTATCCAAAATAAAAAAAGTTAAAGTAACAACTGGAAGGATGCTGAATGTACCCCTACTTTAACGAAGTCTCAACTTTTAACTACAGCTACAGTTTTTGAAAATCAGGTCTAAAATACCACCTGCATTAGATAAATAACTATAACTTCTTTTTCCTAACAGGTGGTTGCAAAAAAAAGTTTAAGAATATCTGGAGTTTGGGAATAAATACAGCTTGAATCAATAAAGGTCTATAATGAGTCATCTTCAAAAGCATACTGACCGTTACATAATTAAAATTTTTATGCTTCCATTTCAAGCCTGAAAACGTATACTGGATATAACAACATAAAACACAAGGCCCTTAATGTTAAACCCTGAAGCGATAATCTACCAAAACCACATGCTTCTGACTTAGTTAATATTTTATTATTTTTATAACATATTTTGGTAGTAATGACCTTTAAATCTATATTATTATTTATGATATGTACATTTATTTCTCCCTCAAACTTCATTAATTTTGAAAAGGCTCACATTAAGGTTTAATGTTATTTCTTGTACAGTTTGGATTATACTGTTTTGAAACAGTTGGGATTTTAAACTTAAGCCAATATAATGCACAGGAATTTTTTAAATGATAATAGTATTAGTTAGTATAAAGGCTGTTCATAGTTATGTAAGAGGCTTATACTGTGACTTTAAGAATTTTTTTAAAAATATCAATTCAACATTTATAGCACTTTGAGTAATAGTACTGTAAATGGCAATAAAGTTTAATATAGATTACTTTGAAAGTCACTTGCCATGCAAAACCATTTGGAAATCATAATAAACACAGAAATGTTTGCTTTTTCTAGTTGCTTAGTTATTAAGCAATATAGAAGTGGGAATAAGCCACTTAGCTATAATTTTAAATATTCTCAAAATACTGATGTTTTAAAACTAAAAAAGTGAAAAAAAACTTCTTGCCTTCCATAGCAGACCACTACAAACCAATGGCAGAACCTCCACATTTCAGTGACCAGAACAGTATGCATCACTCTCAAAGATGTCAAACTCATTCAACGGTGGCCATATAATTTAACGCATGTACAGTAATTCTAACTAAAACCCCAAATTTTTGAAAGGTCACACCATCTGACAGAAATATTTCTTAAAATGTTTTCTCTCATAATTGATTCTCAAAATTTACTTCCTAAATTGTATCCTCATAATTTAAAATACAAGCTTACTTAAATAGACAATATAAGTCCTTAAAAAAAAACATTCTGGAAATAAATTAGTGGAAGTCGGTAATAGTAAATCAACTACTGCATAAGAATTCCACTCCAGTGTACCACATCTTTTTGTGTGTTTATGATTTAGTCTGACCCCCTCCCACTCCCAACTCCCTAAATTTAGAAACTTTCAGCTTTCTTTTCTTTTTTTAAAGAAGCAGTGCAAAATTTTTCTGGGTAAGTCAATACACTACAGAGAACATAAAGGACAAAGTATAAGTGACATATCAATATCTATGTACTGGTTTCATTCTAGGTATAAGTAAGCATATTATTCACTTAGTTTAGGTATATTATTTACCCTTCTCTAGTATATAAATCAAAGCCTTTAACCTAAATTTGAAGTATACACACAATACATATACAAACTGATGCAAAACATCTTTCTCATATGTAACATTACATTTAAAAAATAGTGGAAATTGAATACTTGTGCCATTGATTTGTTTTTTTGACTTAATCGAACAAAAAGACAACATTCAACTTAGGGAGGGTTATACTGATAATAAAGCTCTTGTAGTTAAAATTGTCCTCCTCTCCCTTTATACTTACCACAGACTATACAATGTCCTGAGAGGATTCATCATGACAGAAATGTCAATCACAGCTTTAAGACCTAACTTCAGAAGAAACTGATATGAAAGCAAACTGGAACACGGGACTCCATTTTTCTTTTCAAAGAAGTGGTCTTAATTTGTTTCTTATAGAAAAAGTTTGTCAGTTTATTATAAATATATCTAACCCATTAATTTTTTGCAGCTTTCAGGTTAATTATAGTCCAGCACTTCATTTATGCAAAGTCTACAAATAGAGGTCAGTAGAGATCATCTAATCTTAAGTCGTGACATCATCCATTCAAGTCCTTGGCACAATCTATAAATAAAGAAAATAAAATTATCTAGTTAATATTTCACATTTTAAAAGAATATATACTAATGGTAATTATAGCTCACATTTATATGAGGCTTTATAAGAAACATAGTATGAGAGAGCACTGGATTTGTAGTTACAGAACCTGGATTCAAATCCTAGCTCTGCTAATTACTAATTTGCAATCCTGGGCAAGTCATTTAATCTCTAGCCCTAATTTCCCTCATCTATAAAATGACTAGATGACCTCTATGGTCCTTTCCATAGATCTAAATCTATGAACCTTTTACAAAGGCTTTACATATAGTATCTTAACTGAATCATACAACAACTCTGAGACAGGTATTTTATAGATGAGGAAGCTGGGGGTTTAAAAGGTTTAGGTGACTTGCCTTTGGCACTGCTCTACTGAAAAGTTCTCATATGTTTTCTTTGGTTGTTTTTTTTGTTGTTGTTGTTAATCTTGTTCACCCCTTGAGAGCCTTCTTTAAGGCTCAGACTTACCTGGATTTCTATTCCCTGTTCTATCTATATTCTCCTTCATTTTCCTGGCTTCAACTTTCACCTCTCTCTATACACCTTGGTAGACCTATACTAAATCTATACCTTTAGGTGTGATTTCCTGCCATATTTGAGTACCAGTCCTAAGCCTTTTATTTCTAAATATTTCCTGTACATCTGTATGTGAATATACTAATGTGCTTTGAAACTCAACATGTCTAATCCTCTCCCTAAAAAAGATTCCAATAAACAAGCCTCATGTTTCTGTCAAAAGGACTATATCTTTCTATTCTGCTAGGCTTGCAACTATAGAATAACCTTTGACTCATTTTGCTCCTTTGTTCTCTATATCCAGGTACCAACTAGTACTTATTTCTTATTTTAAGAGAGCTCCTTAAATCTCTTCCTTCTTTCCAATTCCCATTGTAACCAGCCTCAGACAAGGCCTTCTTCTCAGCTCATAATCATCTCCACGGGTTCAATGTTTCCCTACTACAACCCATTCTATCATGATATATCACAATTAATCTTCCTAAAACACAACTCTTATCATATATACCAAAAATTGCCTTGCCTCTGAACTTCAGGCCTGCCTATATCACATGCTAACACCACTGTCTAACCCTAGGTAGCAGGTATAAGGGAAGACTTTGGTTCAATGATCAAGTTCTATCCCTGTTACTGGCGTGTCATGCTTTCTAATCAGATCTCTTACCTAACTCCTGATCTTTTCTTGACCAGATTCTGATTTGAGTTTCTAAGTGTTCATTGAGTTTCTGATCTCTGCCTTGTCTCCTCAGACTCAATGTATTTTGCCTTGCTTTAATTGACTTCCCTGGAACTATGAACAGCCTGACTGATTTATGGTACCTGGCAAGTTTCCTCCTATTTACCCACACTATTGGTTCTGTGACATTCCCTATCCCACTGCTGCACAAAATTTGGGAGTAGCATGCTAAATTCCTACCTGAAAACACAACAGCTTCAGCTATACTTCACATCAATCTCAAAACCTCCAGCCAACTTTCAAGGGCCCTCATGAACTGGACCTTATTTATGTACCCTCTCCTACTGCTTCCCAACATGAACATTCTGACTTTCTTCTTCAAGTTCTACCTGCTTTAGGATGCCTTTCCCGATCACTTGTATAATGAAATGAAAACCAAACTAGAGTCAGGAGACATGGGTTCTCATCTTGGCTCTGCCATTTGCCAACTTCATAACCTTGGGAAGGCACTCCATCCTTCCTGGACCTGTTTTCTTATGTTCAAAATGTGGAAGTTGGTTTCTTTTATCTCTATCTCTGTATTCTAATACTTTTTAAAATTAAAACTTTTTTTAAATCCACAAAAATCTGCCCTCTCTCCTTCCAACGTTCTGCCCCAAATGAGAATGAAAAACAAGCCCCTATTATAAACGTGCACAGTCAATTTTCACATTATCATGTCTAAAAGAAAAAAAAATACACACACATATATATCTTATTCTGCACTGATTCTTTCACTTCTCCATCAGGAGGTGAGTAGTATTCTTCATCATTTGTCCTTTGAAGTCATGGTTGATCATTACACTAATCAGAGCTCTTAATTCCTTCTTTCTTTTTGTTTAAACTGTATTTTTGAGTATTATTTAAATTTATTTTTTTCAGCCTGCAAAAATGTGCCTTCTCTCCCTCCTACTCCCAACAAAAAAAAATTCAAAATCCCCTTTACAAAATGAAGTCAAATTTCCATACTAATCATGTCCAAATAGAAATATGTGTACATACATGAATGCTTATGTATATGTGTGTGTGTGTGTGTGTGTGTGTGTGTGTGTGTGTGTGTGTGTTTCATTACTCACCTCAAGTCTTTCACCTCTCTATCAAGAAATGGGTAGCATTAGGCCTCTACAGTAGTGGTTGGTCATTACAACTATCAGTTCCTAAGTTTTCCAAAGATGTTTGTTTTCATAATATCACTGTCATTGCATAAATCATTCTGTTTCTTTTCACTTCACTCTACATCAGTTCACATGAGTTTTCTTAGGTTTCTCTGAAACCATCCACTTCATTATTTCTTACCATACAACAGTATTTCATCACATTTATATACCATAACTTATTCAATCATTCCCCAACCGATGGGAACCTGATCAATTTACCATTCTTTGCCACCTCAACGTTAGTGATGCGCTTCCTTTCCCACACATACACATATACACACATGAATGTGTACACACACATATGTGTATATATTTGTGTGTATGCATATGTGTGTGTGTGTGTGTGTACACACACACACACACACACACACACATAGTTTGTTTAGCTTAGGATTAAACCCTTCCTTAATCTACCATCCTTCTAAATTACCCTTCCCTCATACTTTCCTGTTGAGTGAAATTCTGTACCCAATTCTGTGTATATGTTCTTCTCCCCCTTAATCAGTTCATATGAGAATGATAGTCAAGTGTCAGCCACTCTCTCCACCCCTTCCTCCTTGTTTATATGGACTTCTACCTGCTTGTATACCTCGATTATGTGAGATAATTTTCTGTAACCTTCCACCCCTCAGTGTACTCCTCTTCTCCCTTTTAATTCTTCTTTTAAAAGTCATCAAAACATAACAGAAGCACTCCCAGGCCTTCTGTCTAATTAAGATCCCCTCCATGATTCCTCATGATAATAGGATTTATAAGAGATACAAGTTTCATCCTTCCATATTAGAATTAAGCACTTTATTCTTTAGCCCTTTATTATTGTTTATTCAGGTTTACATTTCTTGTTTAACTCCTGTGCTTGAACTTCAAAGTTTCTGCTCAGATTCGGTCTTTTCACCAGGAAGACTTGGAAGTCCTCTACTTCTTTAAAAGTCTGTTTTCCCCTATGTAGAATTATATGTAAGTTTGCTAAGGGAATTATTCTTGGCTATAAGCCTATATCTTATGCGTTTTGGAATATATATGCTAAGTTCTCCACTCCTTTTTAAGAGTTAACTGTAGTTCCTCAGTACTTGAACTCTTTCTTTCTGGCTGCTTGTGATATTTTTTCTTTGACCTGGAAGCCTTGGATTTTGGCTATAATGTTTCTGGGAATTTCCATTTTGGGTTTTGTTGAAGAGGTCAGTCAGTTAGTCAATAAATATTTATTAAGCATGTACTATGTATAAGGCCCTGCGCTGAGCACTGAAAAGTAAGGAGGTTAACCGGTGGATTTTATCTATTCCCATTCTGTCCTCTGTGTCTTAAGAGATTTGGGCAGCTTTCTTTTCAGATTTCTTAAAATATGATGACGAGGCTCTTTTCTCTTTGGTCATGACATTCAGATAATCTAATAAATTTATTTCTCCTCAATCTGTTTTCTAAGTCAATTGCTTTTGCTATGAGATATTTTATATTTTCTACTTTTTTCATTCTTTTGACTTTGTTTTATTATTTCTTGTAAACTTTGGCTTTTCTTTGGTTCATTCAAATTTTTAGAGAGTTTGATGTCTGGACAAGATTTTGTTCCCCGGGTGCTAAGTTGTTAATTACTTTTTCAATGATTTCTTCCACAGAACTCATTTCTTTCCCTATTTTCCTCTAGTTTTTACATTTTATTTATAAAAACATTTTAATTCTTTTTTGTTGTTGTTGTTGGGCAGTTGGAGTTAAGTGACTTGCCCCGTCACACAGCTAGTTAAGTGTCAAATGTCTGAGGCTGGATTTCAACTCAGGTCCTCCCGACTCCAAGGCTGAAGCTCTATCCACTGTGCCACCTAGCAGCCCCAAAAACATTTTAATTCTTTAAAAAAACCAACAACTCTTGCTTTGTCTCTTCCAGGAATTCTAGTTTAGTTTGTGCCCAAGCTGTGTTTTTTTCTTTGAGGCTTTGCTTGTAGATGCTTCAGTGTCATTCTCTTCTTCTGAGTTTGTCTTTGGTCTTCCTGCCACCATAACAGCTTTTTTGTTGTTGTTTGCTTGTTCTTCCCACCTGCTTCCTGACTTCAGACTTGACATTAGGTCTGGGCTCTGCTGCATTCTTCTGGGCCTGTTGTGGCTTTCTTGGGGTATTCAGTATTGCGTTATTCCAGGATCTCAAGAACAGGCTGGGGATGTCCTAAATTTTGGTGCTCCCAAAATGGTCTATCAATGGCAAAGTTAGATCACACTGACCTCTGCACATTCCAGATCTGGATTTGGATTTCAGCAATACACTGAGTGCTGCCGGATTAAGATCCATGGGGGGGGGGTGACAAAGCCATCGACTGGCACCTGTTCCCACAACCTGCAAAAGATCAGATCCTGGTAATGGGTCTGAGACCTTGTCTTGGCCTTAAGTATTGTCCCTGGGCACTAGGATGCTCCATATGACATGCTTCTGGTCAAACTCTGTCCCAAATGTCCATAGACCTCTCTGTCTCTCTATGTTGACCTAGGCTGGAAAATAACTGTGACTTTTCCTTGGATGTCCTAATTAGATCTCAGACTAATGAATTTTCTAGTTCTGTTTGGAGTAGTTTTGAGGAGGACCACTCTGTACTCCTTCCTGTTACTCCTTCTGTCTTCCAATTTGAACACTGTATACTTCAGCCCTTACTGATCTCGAACTTCTCTCAACTCTTATTGTACTTATAGCCGACACCATAATGTTTAGTATTGAATTATACTATACTTGTATTTTACATATTTAAGCTGGTGCAAGAGAAAGAAAATAGGAATTGAAGTCAGGAGACTTTAGCTTGAATTTTGGATCTGCTAGTTATTACACAGGTGATAATAATTCATCTATTTGAGCCTCAGTTTCCTCATCTGTAAAATGAATGCATTAGATAAGATGACCTCCCAGGTCCCTTTCAAGCTCTATGATCCCATGATCATAGAAAAAGCAGGAACCCTATTTTATACTTTTTTGTTATCCCCCACAATGTTTAGCATATTATAGGTCTGAAATAAATGTGCTGATTTAAAGATGAAGAACATATGAATATAAATAAGATGAAAATAATATAATATTCAAAAGAAAGCATTCTTACCCCTCACCAGTGAGAGCACAACATGCCTGGATATGCCACTGGTGATCTTTAATTGAAGTTAGCTTCAAAAACTGGGAAATTTCAGCCACAGTCATGCATTCTTTAACATCTTGTTTGTTAGCAAAAATCAGCAATCCAGCTTTCCTTAGATCCTATAAGAACAAATTAAAACTACTTGTTTCTGAGGTTCCCAAATCATTTAATTCAAACATTTAAAGATTTAACAGTCCCAAGTAAATTATGGTTAAAAAAAAAACCCGTGAACCCTTAAATGTTTACATTCTCAAAAATAATGAACGAGTTTAAATTTCTTTTATTTTAAAAAACTTTTTTGTAGGATAGGGGAGGAAACATAAGAAGTTTCTAATTGAAGTCTGTTTGCAGATATAAGAGAACCCTCATAGAGCTCCAGAAGCAGAAAGTAAAACACAAGACTAATAGAGAATTTAAAACAGAATAATGACTCTCCAAATAAGTTAAACAAAAGTCCGTTTGTCTTTTTTTTAATGTAAAATTTCTGACATGGTAGAATAAAAGTTCTATCACCAATAATTAGGTCCTAATTAGATCCTAAAATCTCCATGTTAATTCTGCACCATCTTCTAGCAGCACTGTTCCTCCAAAAAAGACAACTGAATAACATGTAAGCTTGTTACTATATTATCAGATAATGTATATATGTCAGAAAAATGAGGGTCCCTACATGTTTCATGGCATCCAATGCTACCTACAATCATGTTTTTCCATTTCATCTTATCATTTGTACATTAGGATCTATTGAAAAAGAGGTCAGGCTGATAATAATATAACCTAAATCTAGTCCTGGTTCACTCACTAGAACCAGCTTCGTAAACTTGGGCAAGTCACTTAAGTTTCAGCTTCTAGTCTTAATTGCCTAATAGGGTTGTTATATAGATACAATGATATGAGAAATATTTAACGCTTTAAAATGTTGTGATCTTATCAGTAAGGGCAACTCATTTAAGCCTCAGTAGATGGCTTTCAAGAGCTTCTGTGACTGAAAAATTCATCATCTGTTAGCCAACCACTCTGATTATGAGTCTCCTTGAGACTACATATTTCACTGCATAATCATCGCAGATTTTATGCCAAATTTTTGCAAAAAAAGGTGAGTTGCAACCATTATGTGTAGCTTTTTAAAAAAACTGTGCCAGTATTACTTAAAAATCATTTATTACTAAACTGTATCACTGGCAGAAGAACTGTACGGTTTAGCTAGCTCGGGAAGATGCAAGTCTTACCATACCACATGACTTACTCATGGCAGCTTCACCTGCCCACCTACTCCTTTTGCACTTATGGCTCTTCACTGGGTTAAGCGATAATATCGTTAGTACTGCAGCATTCTAAACAAACCATGCAAGTTGGCTTTTGGAAACATACTGATAATGCACATGCCTTGAGAATTCTAGGCTCATGGCTTGCAATGTGTGAGAGATAAATGTGTATCCATATGCCACTGGTGAATACACTGTTCTGTTTACCTTTTAAGTGGTGTGAGGAACAGAATTATACCGTGTGACAATTACCAATATGGTAATTAGGCTGTGCCCTGGATGCCAGAGTGGGGCCTACACTTGAAGCGTAGCTAGTAGGCACTGACAGACTAATGAGGGGTCAGAAGTCTTAATGCAGAGAAGCACATGAGAATGCTCTCTGAAAACAGGAAGAAGTTCTATATGAATGCAAGATCTCTGTTCTCCTGTTGATATTGATATTACCCAAGATCCTATTTTACTTCTTGACTACTTACTCTTAATTTGTCTGTTTACTCAAATATAAACAGACACAAACACAAAGACATGGCACTCAATAATTATCTTTTGTTGAATAAATGGTATGCCTGTCTCAAACCCTCCCTCCCAAATCTACATTTGTGATCATGTTAATGTTCCTGAAACAATGCTTTCATCATACCATTTTTCTGCTCAAAAAGCATCAATGTCTCTCCATGAGGTTGTATTATAAGCCTGGCATTGTAGGGTCCTCCATGATCTGGTCCCAAACTACTTCTTCACCTTACCTGCCAACATTCCCCTATAAGAACCCTGGGCTTTAATAAAAACGGCCTCCTTTCTCAAAGTTCACAGGACATCTTATATTCCTGCAGCATTATTGCTTTTTTCTATACCATACCCAAACTCTTCTCCACCAACTGCAAATCCTACTGACTACTTCAAGCCATGGCTCAAATCCCTTCTTCAAAATGAAGTCTTCTCGTACCATTCTAATTCAAAGATGTGTCCTTCCTCTGAACTCACAGCACTGTCCATATACTATTTATGTGGCAGTTAACCATGTGCTTTGCTTCCTTGTATCATTCTTATATCTAATCTGACTTGAATAAAGACTCATATGGCATTCTTAGCAAGTTTATGGGAGACATAAAGCTCAGAAGAATTGTTAATATTCTAGATCATGTAATCAGGACCCAAAAGGATCAAGAAGCCAGAATAATGGGACAAATGAATCAAGGTAAAATTTCTTTATTTAGGCTTTAAAAATCAATAGTATGAATACAACATAAAGGATATATGGCCTGAGGAGAATTCATGTGAAAAAGGCCTGAGAGATGCAACTGGTTGTAAAACACTATCACAGGTGGAAATTTAAAAACATCAAAAAAACAAGAGTAGAACTTTTTGCTAATGTGTTGATTAGACTTGTGTTTCATCAGTGCAGATTGCTACTGATAAGGAACTTCCTTTATCCGTGCAGGCTGGCACCTTCCCTGCAACTCATGAGCTTAAGAGAACTGTCTGGGGAACTGAGAAGTTAAGGAACTTGCTTGGGGTCACATGGCCAACACATGTCAGAGGCAGAACAAGAACCATGGTTTTCCTAACTCTAAGGCCAGCTCTTTATCTACTATTTCTCCATGCTACTGCTCAGAAAATAACTAGATGTTACCTATTCATTATTAAGGACACAGTCGAGCAGATAACAAACATTCTTTTGATCTTGAATGCACCTATAGTTTTTCTGATCCAGAGTGGAAAAAGGCTGGGATCATCAAGGACTCATTAACTCATCAAATGGAATTACTTTCCATTGGATCCAATTAGTATAACCTGCCAAGTTTCAATAACTTTACTAGCACATTAATGTTTCCTATAACAATTAAGTGTGCCAGGGCTCACAAATTAAGAACACAAACTTTTATTTTCCCAGCAAGTACCTATGATGAGGATTTATAAACTTATGCCAGCTATATTTACATTATATGTACCTGTCACTTTTGATGATAAAATAATATATTGTTTTATGCAAGGGCTCAATACCACTGAAACTGTAAAAATGCAAGAATAAATGTATTTCTTTTTTAAAAAGTCTCCTGAAAATAACAATTTTTAAGCTGATTTCCTATATCTCCACAGGCCACAAGTTCTGCTTTACGGCACCTGATGAAAAACAAGTTTGTCTTAATAGTTGTTGCGATATCTTCTTGGTATAGTTGCTGGAACTGTGGTCTTATAGAAATGGCATAATCAACTAGGAAAACCAATGACAATGCAGGCAGAAAATCCCTCATTTCTCAAAACTTTTCAAAATCACAAAAAATTTCTGATACTTCTTTGAATCAACAGGTGAACATAATTGCATAATGATATAATTTTTTAAACTATAGTTAGCCATATTTAAGCAAGGCTCATCATATCACTCTAATGAACTTACAGATTATCACATAAGACACAAACAACTGTGATAAGTATGCTATTTTAGCATAAAATCATATTAATGAGAAGAAATAAAGCTCTCCTTTTGTTTGAATGTAGCTGTACTATAATGTCAAATAGTTATAACACAAAATATATTAGACAAAGTATGTTCATCATCTGTCATACAATTCAGTAAGTTACACAGTAAACAATAATGACATTTTACAAGACCATGTATGAAACATCAAACTTTCTACTCTGATATTGATTCATTCCATAAGATTCTACCATTAATTTCAAAAGATTTTCTTTTAGGACGTATACAGAGTTACATAATACAGAGAGTACTATAAGATCCAGTACAGGCTTGAAAGGTTTAAGAAATTAGAGGTCAATGTTAGCATAGTCAATGAAAGCTAGAATAAAATCATTGGTATGTTTTTTTTTTAACCATCAAGAAAACTTGCCAATGAAGAGTATAATGAAACTTGTTAGCAAGAGTATTAGGTAGTGACTGCAAAACTGATGATTTGTTTGTTAAAGTACTTAAACATAAGGATGAGGGCAAATAAAAATCCTGTTTTCTACTTAGCCTATTTGGTTTGACTCTTTTACTTAAATAGCAGTTTGGTAACTGATTAGTAACATCTCATTTTACCAAGTCAAATTTGAATGCTACAGAAACCTTTTCTTGATATAAATAGCTAAGTAATTAGGAGAGGAAGACCAATTACCCAGATTTATTATATAACATTATGAAAATACGCTATTTGTCTGCTTGCCTAATAACTGAATATCCTACTAGTCCTAAATTACATTAGTAATGAATTTAAATAACAAAGCAAAGGAAAGTGAAGTCTAGGAGAAATTATTCCTTAATACTTAAATAAATAACTTTGGTTTTCCAAATTCAGAGCATTCAAAAATAATTTCAGAAAGAGGGAAAACGATGTTTTTCATTTTGCCTCTTCCAAAATAAACACTTCTGCTTAAAGCAATAATTTTTTATTTCTGGAGGGTTAGTCAATTTTCTAAAGTAATTAACTTCAAATGGCAAAAGAAACAGTTAAAAATGAATATAAAATACCTTGTTTCTAATGGGTAAAAATAAGGTTATTATATGAAGTCAAGGTCATATTTCAAAGGAAGTTCTACTAATAAAATGAAAGCAACTATAATTTCTCAAGGGACAGAATACACATTTACTAGACAACAGATCATAGATTAAGTAAAATCAACACAGAGAAAAGCATTTCTCAGAGTTTCATCTTTAAAAGCAAACTTCTAGAAAACAATTCAATTTGATCATTAAGATAATTTATTATGAAGTTTTCAACTAAGTCGATTTGCAAAGAACTTTTTAAAAAAGTACTTCAGCACTTCTTTGCATTTCTTATAGAAAAAAGTTCTTAAAACTCTCTCAATTCTCATTGTTATACACATTCAATAATGATCTTATCTTAAATTCATCCAGTATTATCCATGCATACTATGTGAAAGACATTGTGCTGATCGCAGGGGATACAAAGACAAGAATGAAACCATTTGCCTCAAGGAGCTGATATTTGAGCAGCAAAAAACCAATGTGAACATGGATAAAAACAAAGAAATTTCAAGAAGATAATGATAACAACTGGGGGCAGGGAAAGAGGTGTCAGGAAAGGCCTCCTACAGAAAAGTCACACCTGAAATGTGTTTTGAAGAAAGTTCATGATTCTAAGAGGCATCAGAAAGAAGGAAGTGTATTCCATTCATAGGCTTAGAGACTGAGGAATTAACCAGCTTGAAGACAGTCTCAGGAAGAAATTTAACTTTAAAGAATATGTTTCAAGTTTAAATTTTCTTACAGGTCTATATTCCCGAACAATCTTTTGCAAAGAGATAAAAACATTATTATAATCAAACACTAATTAAAAATAGGGGACTACAATGAATTTTTCTTGATGTGAAACACTATCTCCTGTTTTTCTTCCTCTATTTTTCTAACACTTTTCCTGTTTCTTGGTTTCTCCCTCTCCCTCCCCCTATCTTTGTCCCTTTCTTAATTCACATTGGCCTTTAATGCTTTCTTCAACCCAGGCCCTTCTGGCCTCAGATGATTTTCCTCCCTCAGTTGTTACTTCACTTGTGAGGTATGTCTGTTTTTTTCTCATTTTATCTTTTTTTGTCCTTCTAGGGAAATGGCTCTATCTCTTTGCTGATATCCAAACTAAGAAAGCAATACAGAAACACATCACTTTTTGTTCCCACAGGATACTGACTGATGGCAGAATGCTGCTAAAAAGGCAAACTGTACCATGAAAATAGGATTATACAGAATATTTTATAATTTGCAATATGTCATGGTTACTGTATGTGTGCCTGTAGTTGTGGGACAATATATAAGAGGGATCTAATATTTTAGGCATCTTTTTTTAGTGTGTTACATTTTAATATGAGAGCTAAGTAAAGGGAAAATGTATGTACTAATATTTCATATACTAATATTTCAACAACAATCCTAAACTTTATAGATAAACTGTATTGGTTTTTGCCTTACCATCATCCAATTTCAATCTCAATTATATTTCCTTTCAAAGATTTTGCCTGCATTAAGTGCTACATCCCATGAATCTGCATCAAAGTAGTAAAAAAGTATTTCTGTACCTGATAACTGGAATAAAGCCTTTTGCAGAAGATCTGTATTTTGAAGTCTCATATTTCTTTACAAAAAAAGTTGCCATTTTAATTTCTTTTATACCACTAGTTCATACTCTAACATACTCTATTTATTTCTATATTATAAAATGTTTTCAGTATTCCTCCTCTCTAACATAAAATAATTCAAAGGTCATTGTAGCTTGCTTAATTAAGATCGTCTTTTGCAGTAAGAAATCTATGAAATTTCTTTATTACTAAATCTCATTTTTTATCTAAATGTGAAATTTAATTGGTTGGGTGTTTTATTTTTCCTTATGTCTGCTAAAAAGTTTTTTTTCCCTGAAACATTATTCATTGGATCATTATCAAATAAGGATTGCTTTGCATTACGTGAATGAAAAATTATTGAAGAATGATGTCTTCACTTTGGATAGGTATCTTCACATACATTATAGTTTTATACCACAGTTAATTTTTTAATCTTTCATGAAATATAACATGAAACAGCCCTTTGGATTTGGGTAAGAAATGTATCATTACCACAGTAATGCAGCAAGAAAGTAGCTCTCTACTTTCACCTGGTATTTTCTAAACTGAAAATAGAGCAAATATGTATACGTACCCCCTGAAGAATAGCAGAAGAATCAGGGCCATGTTCAGGGGAAAGAGAAGAGAATGCTGGCCACAAGCAATTGAAATTCTTCAATAACACCAGATAAGCCTGAGATCCCTTCCCCCAGTGACCTCACTCCAAACACTCCCTAACTAGGAACCACCACCAGGCTCTCAAGGTCAGAGCCTACTTCCCCAAAGGCCTCATCCGGAATCCCACCAACAAGGATCCCATTAGGATCTCTACCCTTCCCAACAGTATACCCTAAGGCAGGGGTGGGGAAACAGTGGCCTTGAGGCCACTGTGGATCCATAAATCCTTGGGTGTGGCCTTTTGAAGGAGTCTGAGTTTTATAAGACAAATTCTTTTATTAAGGGGGTTTGTTTTGTGAAGTTTGGATTCAATCAAAGGGCTGCACTTGAGGACCTAGAGGGCCACATGCGGCCTTGAGGCTGCAGGTTACCCACCCCTGCCCTAAGGATTTCTGGATCCTGCCAGTGGTCCTGCCAATGTACCCCACGGTCCATCCTACCAATAAACTTAGGTGAGTCGTCTTCTCTAATCAGAATGTGAACTTTTAGAGACTGACACAGCAGGGATTGCTGTGTCACTCTCTATTGGTATTCCCAGAGTTTAGCACAGTATTTGGCACACAGTAAATATTTAATAAAGGGGCAGCTAGGTGGCGCAGTGAATAGAGCTCTGGCCTTGGAGTCAGGGAGACCTGAGTTGAAATCCAGCCTCAGACACTTAATACTTATTAGCTGTGTGACCATGGGCAAGTCACTTAACCCTGACTGCTTCACCAAAAAAAAAAAATTTAATAAAAAGGCAGTTAGGTGGTAAAGTGGAAAGAGCGCCAGGCCTCGAATCAGGAAGACCCGAGTTCAAATCCAGCCTCAGACACTAGCTGTGTGACCCTAGGCAAGTCACTTAACCCTATTTGCCTCAGTTTTGTCATCTGTAAAATGAGCTGGAGAAGGAAATAATAAACCACTTGTGTTTTTGCCGAGAAAACCCCAAATGGGGTCACGAAGAGTCGGGCAGAACTAAAACAACAATCTACCTCCCAACTTCCTACTGTTCTCTGTGTTCTCTAAGCCAGACATTGTACCAAACACTTGGGCTCAATACAACATAACACCATCACTCTCCCACATTTTTTCTGTTGCTTGTCACAATTCCACTTCCAATTTGGGAAACAGCAAAGACTAAACAGTATGGCTGGTGAGTATGGTAAGAGGGAGTTTTCTTTCTGAACTGCACTCTAAGGAGATCTCAACATTAACACAAAAAAAGTAGAAGGAACAAATACTAAGCAACAAAGTACACACATATTTTAAAAGAAATATTACTTACTTCATGTGCTAACATTTTATAGAGTTCTTCTCTAGTTACAGAAATCCTCTCTCGGTCTGTACTGTCCACAACAACAATGACAAACTAAAATAATTTTAAAACAAAATCATTAGTAATCACATAGTTACTCCTTTAAAACTCATCAAATGTAATGTAGAGTGGTTAGAGTACTGAATTTGCAAGTGAGATGGAACTGAATGTGAATCCTGCTTCAGACACTCACAAATCTTATGGGCAAGTCATGATCTCTCTGCCTCAGTTTCAGTTTCCTCAGATGTGAGATAGAGATAAAGTAACTACTACACCAGTGAGGATCAAATGGATAACTCTATCTGAAGAATCCTGCAAACCTTAAAACATTACGTAACTATCAACTAGTACAGTAAAGCACTATAAAAGTGTCAGGCTGCTTATGTGGAAGGAATCCTCACCCTAAGAATTCTCTACACCAATGAAATCCCAGGTCTGGACTGAAAGAAAAACAAAGCACAGAGTGTGGCTGATGAACAAACCACATCTCTACTACGCACTGATGCAGTGATGGTCAAAGAATCATTCTGTGTCTATATAAAAACACACCTTACTTGGCACTTCTGCCAATATAACACTTCTTGAATGGAAACATAAGAGGTGGGACTAGAAGATGTGATAAAAGGCCTGGCAGGAATCATAACTTCTTAGTTTTGTGTGCTCTGGAAAACTAAAAGAAATTGGATCACAGCAGATTTAACTCATTTCATTCACGGTGGTACTAATCACAGATTGAGTTTAATCAAACTGCCTAAATTAACATTTACTATTTTTAGAACGCTTTTTTGTTTGGTTTGATTTGGTTCTGGCCCTAGAAAAAGATTTAAAGCTAAGCAAGCCTCTCCTATGTTAACAAAATAGGAAGAAAAGCTTCAGTACTCTACTTCCTCTCTTCTCTTGCTTAACAGATGACTAGTGATTTTATTTCTGAAAGAACCTTCCTTCCCACTACACTTTAACCAAAGCATCAACCTCATTGCTGTTCACTTGACATGTGAATGGCTACCTAAAATATTAGAAAGGTGTGTTCTACATGGACTCCCTTTCCTTTGCTCTAAAAATGCGATCTAAACTTGGGGCAGAGATAAGAGGTAGCATAAGAAAATAGAAAACAGCAAGCAGTTATTGTTTTTCTAGTGTTTGTAGGTTTATATTTCATCAACTCATAATCTTTGGCATTCAAAAGAAGGCCAATTTCTCAATTCATCTCTGAGGTTTACACCACTGCATTCTTATAGGCCAATGCTCTAGAAACAGCTTACAGGAGATAGGACCATCAGCATCATCACAACCGACATTTGTTTAGCAGTTTAAGGTTTGAAAAACGCTTTATATGTCATCTCATTTAAAGCTCACAACAACCCCATGAAGGTGAGAGATATTACTAGCTCCACTTTATAAATGAAAAACTGGAGGAAGTTAAATAATTTACCTCAAGTCAAAGTCAGGATTCAGATCCAAGTCTTCCTGACTTAAAATCCAGTACCAGTATAGTATTCACTATACCCCACTGCTTCATAATACTATCGTCTTATAGTTATATTAGTCCCTTTTGACTACAAAGTACTTGGCATGATTAACATATTCACCTCACAACAACCCTACATAAAGAAGATAGTCTGATGGTTATTAACTTAATTTTATAGATGTACAAGCTCAAGTGACTTGATCAGGCGGGGCTAGATGAGTGGCAGAGCCACAACCCAGGGCCACAGCTCTTTCTACATAACAAATAACAATATTCCACTAAATTGAGAATAGTCCAACTACAATATTATCTAAATAAAATAGTACATAGTTAGATGCTGATTTAAAGACATAGAGAGATAGATCTGCATAAGCATATATCTATGTACAGAGAGACAGAGATAGAAAAGAGAAATTTTATTATCTAGAACCCTAGAATAATCAGAAATTTATTGCATCATACTTTAACGGAAAAGAGGCAAATGACAAGATGACAAGCTGAAGGTAGATTTAGACAAAACTGAAACTTTTGGAGTATCTGCACATTGAAGCCAAACTCCTAAATTTTCAATTTCTACATTACCATATACATTAACAATTAATGTTCAAAATGGAACTCCAAATCAAAGATGCAATTAAAGTTCAGGATATTGTATTTGCTAAATCAGGAAATGAATTCATTCTACAAAAATTTTCAATGGAGATTAAAATTTAAAAAAAATTTTCCTGCTAAATTTCAGATAATTAACCATAATGTTCTATCTCCCCAAGCATCTGGTTAATAGAAGTTTTACTGTATAGTGAAGCATTACCTCAGTGTTAGTATAATAAGTATTCCATGATGAACGAAGAGATTCTTGGCCGCCAATATCCCACATTAGGAAACGTGTATTATTAACTACTATTTCTTCTACATTACTTCCTATAGTAGGAGATGTGTGTACAACTTCATTCATAGAACTGGGGGGAAAAAATCAATCCATCATATTATAATTAGAAAGTACTGCTGGCTCGTTCTCCCAGTTTTTCTACTAAGCCATAAAATCTGACAATATTATGAATTTTCCTTCGTATTTTATATTCCCAAATCTCACCACCACAAAGTAAGCTAAAAGAATAAGTGCAGGTGGTTCTAACCATGAAAAGAGCTGCTTCTAGAGAACTTTGGAAAACTCATGGTGGATAATTTACTAGGAATCCTGTGATCAGAGAACCATGTGATTTATTTTTCTACTTTTCACAGGTAAAAAAGATGACATACAGAAAAACTGAATGGCTTGTCTAATATATGAATTAATGACAGAGCTGAAATTAAAACTTATTTAGAACCAGAGTCCAGCCCACCTCCCTATAGGACAGCTTAAATTTCAGGTGTAATTTAGTTTTTGCTTTCCCTAATTATAAATCGCCTAGACACAGAACAATATCAGTCACAATTAAATTTTCTTTCAAAAAAAAATTAATGAATACTTACAATTGGTAAAGAATGGTGGTTTTCCCTGCATTATCCAGACCCACAATGATAACTTTGTGCTCTGAAATAAAGATAATACCGGTAAAATAGATGGATAAAGAGTCCAAAATAACAACAAAGAGCAGAATCCATATTTCTGTCTGTATACTGTTGGAATTCAGGTGTACTATATTACTAACAGGGCTGACTTGAAACAAATTACCAAGTTAGTACAAGTTCATTTTCAGGCCCCTACTGACAAAGTAGGTACATAATAAATTTTTACTGGAATTAAGTGTCTTTTGCTTATTCCAGTCATCAAATTCCAATTCTATCAGGGACATAAGACATTCACAGGGCTTGGGATGGAAGGGACCTTAAAAATTATCCATCTAATCCAGGGGTGGGGAACCTGCAGCCTCAAGGCCACATGAGGCCCTCTATGTCCTTACCTTTTGAGAGAATCTCAACTTCACAGAACAAAACCCTTTAATAAAAGAATCTGTTCTGTAAAACTTGCACTCCGTCAAAAGGCTGCTCCCAAGGACCTAGAAGGCTACATGTGACCTCAAGGCTGCAGGTTCCTTACCCCTGACCTAGACCAATTCATCACTTCAAAAATGAAGAAACTGAGACCCAGTGACTCTTCCAAGAACATAAACAGTAAATACAGGTCTAAAACTTGAACTCAGGCACTGTGACTCCAATTGTACTTCTTTCATTACAAAGCAGTAATACTCTCTTGTATGGCTAGACAACATTGGGGCAACTCTACTACAGAAGACAATGTATTACTGAAGTGGACTTAAACTTCAATATATGTCCAAAGCACAACGCACCCAGTAAGCTAATTTGGTTTTAACATTAATTTTTAATTTAACACTAACTGGCATTAATAGATACAGAATGCACTGTGTGGCTTTAACAGTAAATCTGAGGCAATTCCAAAATAGGAATTTTAAAAATGTGTTGAGTAATGGTGGTATCTCAATAAAAATGCTTAGCCTCCTAAGCTCATATGGAATGAAAATGAAGGTGAGTGGAATTTAAAAAGAAGGTGGAAATGGTATCATCTTGGAAGATTAAAGTAGGAGAGAAAAATATTAGTTGGGTGCTGAAGTTATCTAGAAGCAGATCTTGGAAGTATGTGCTTGTTGGGGGTAACAGGTTGGTGGGGAGGCAGAGGAGTGCAGTACTAGTCAATGACAACAGTGATGATTAGGAGATAGTGATATGAGTACTTGATAAAACTTTGTATTCCTTCAGATGCTAGATACCCAACTATGTGAGCTTTACTTCTAGACCGTATTAATGTTAGAGCAGCTACAGTGAACTAAATATACAATTTTACAGACTATCATCTGTATCTTTTTTAAAGACTACCATCAGTAATTCCTAACTACATCCATCTTTTTCTAAGCTCATCTTATTCCCAGTCTCTCCAATTCTTCATCAATTTGCTTTAAGGCAGGCCTGCACAACATATGGCCCACAGTCTACTTGTGACACATATGTTGTGCAGGCCAGCTTTAAGGAATATTTGGCTAAGCCATGATTCTTCTCCCCATGTAAAACAAATGAATGTGAAAACAACAAAAGAGAATTTAGGAAGCTGAAAGTGAGCGACAAATTCAAATCAAAACTAACACTTCCTCAATTTGGTCTCAACTTAATTTTTCCAGCCTCATTTCGCACTCCTCTACTTCACGAACTGTCTGCTCCAACAATGCTAATTATTCACCATCCTTACAAACACACTATGGATCTTCCAGCCTTGTGTACCTGTGCTCATACAATACTTCCATAGATCAAGACAGTCCATTCAACTTCTGGACTACCTTAAATATTATCAAGTTTTTCTTAATAATGTGGAAAATAATTGCCTTCCTATACCCTCTCCCCTCTACACCATGCACCTTAGATTTGGAGAGCATATTTCAAAAAACTTAAGAAAGAATGGCCTAGGGGCAGCTAGGTGGCAAATGGAAAGAGCACTAGCCCTGGAGTCAGGAGGACCTGAGTTCAAATCCAGTCTCAGACACATGACACTTAATAGCTGTGTGACCCTAGGCAAGTCACTTAACCTCAACTGCCTCACACAAAATAAACAAATAAAGAAAGAAAGAATGACCTAAAATTCTTCAGGCAATATCAAAGAGGGATAGGATGCTCTCGAGAAATTCTGACAACACTAACAAAAATGTTTCTTATGAAAAAAAGGAAAGAACTGACTAAATAGACTGAAGTAGGATGTACAGCTCGAGGGCAAAGAAATGCAGATGAAATCAGAAGTAGCAGCGACCTGTAAGAACATCAGGAATATTAAAGTCCAGAGGCTTAGGATAAATACTAAGGGAAAAAAAGAACTTAACAAAAACTACTTGAGAACAAGACAAAGAGCAAAGAGGCAGACAAACTAAATACAGTGCTGAAAGAATTTGAAGATAGGCTCACTAGACTGCTATCTATAGTTTCCCAATCAACTTAACTAAACTAACACTTTAGTCAAATGCTGTCAAGATGTCCTAAGTATACATCATGACATCCTAGTTTTTATTTTCTCTATACCTCAAAATTTCTCCATCAGATACGTTCATTACTAACTTCTAAGAATCCCTTTACCAAATTCCCAGTCTGTATCTGATAATGTTGGAACACAGAATCTGAATTTTCATGAAGAGACTTCAGATATAAGTATACCTACTAGCTCTTGCTTGGGGACAAAGGTGATCTAATGAACACTGTACAGAAAATTTCTACACTCCTTCAAAACTCAGCTCAAATGCTACATACAAGGCCTTTCCTGAACACTCTTCAGCTAACAGGGTGGTCCCCAGCTACCACTAAGAAATTACCTTGTAATTATTTTGTATAAATTTTGTATTTACTTATATATGCAGACGTTGTCTCTTGTGATAGAATGTAAGCTCCTTTAGGATAGGGAGTTACTTGTCTTATCTCCAGTAACTAGAACAATACCTGGCACGCAAAGGGAGTTTAACAGATGCTTGTTGATTGTGAATATAATTATCATGAGAGAGTTGAACTGAAAATGGTGGAACAAGAGAAGCTACAACTACATTCATTCACTAAGTCAGATAAAAATTACATAGGAAGATTAATACCAATGAAGAAAACCATACACCATAAAGTTGACATATGCCAAGATTTGGAATAATAACAATATTTGTGGCTTCAAATGCCTAGATGTCAATTATGGGTAACATAAGGGAGTAGAGATTTTAATGCAAGCAAATAAATTAGATATGACTATCTACAACTCTACAAGAGAAATACACTACAGAACCGGAAAAAACCCAAATGTTTTAATTTTCAAAAAAGGAAAGGTTTCTTCAAATGATATGTCAACTAACTTGACATCAATTTTTAGACAAAATTCTAGGATGCATTATAATAAACATAATAAATGGTTTTATGACCACTTAGAAAGGAAAGTAGTTCAGGTCTTTTAAAGTAGATAGTCTTTATGATGTTATTTGTATGTATTACAAGGGGAAGCGTGGGAGGACAAGAAATTTTAAAAATTAATTTAAAATTTAAAAACCTGCAATCACCCTATTCCAGTATGGATTCATCAAGAAGTCAAACTAGACTAATCTCAATTCATTTTGTGGGCAGGATTATTAGATTAGTATATTAGGGAAACACCAAAGACAAAGGATTTCAACAAAACATTTTGACAAAGTTCATCAAAATATCCTTGTGAACAAGATGGAAGAAACTGGGCTAGGTAACTGTAGATGAGTGCTTTCACAACTACCTGAATAGCTGGGCCCCAAGAGAGTTGACCAATGCCAACCTAGAAGGTAATCTCCAATGGAGTGCTATAGGGATCTGCTCTTGCTCATGTTCTGTTCAATGTTATCAATGCCCTGGATGAAAGTTTATCAAATTTGCAAGTGACACAAAGCTTGAAGGAATAGATGACAAAACAGTTGATTGAATCAGGATCCAAAAAGGCAGTGATACAGTAGAAATAAGATTGTCTCCAAAGTCAGAGAACCTCAAAATGAAATCTTGGGTAATTCAGCCTTCCTCACACAATTTGAAAATATTTTCAAATACACACATAAAATATATTTAAAATACAATGTACTGTTTACAACAAAGGTACTGTAGTGTTGCAGACAGAGAATAAACTTAGCTCTTGGAGATGCTATTCACATACATAAATAAAACACAACTGGCTTTTAGGTTTCTAGATTATAACATCACCAAAAACTACTTTTTACATTTACTTTCATACTTTCTTATGGAGGGTGGAGCTCAGCTAAGCTCAAAAGTATGCCAAACATAGGAAATTACTTAGAACCATTAACCCAGTCTATACTCCTAAACTCAGGTATAAACCATGATTCTTAATAGATTAATTCAACTCCTTTTTAAAGGATCTATGAGAAAGGTTGGTTTTACAAAGGAAACCTGGAAAGGATGCTACAACTTCTCTCAGAATTCACTTTAGCATCAACAGTCTCTTTCTTTCATCTAAACTTACCTTGCTCCAATAAAATTTTATTTTATAACTTATCAGCTTCCAGTGATCATCTTTCACATACTTAAAACATTACTGGTCATTCCTCAAGGGATCATTAACCCAAGCACAAGTAAAGTGCTGTAGTCTTATGCCAAAAAAGGTCTTGAGAAGTAAAGCTTACACCAGAAAACTCTAGTAACTACATCAAATTCCTAAAAAGCATATGGAGCAATAGTTTGGCATACTTCAGAAATATTTATGTAAATATATTTCTGTAAAGGCAAAATATTTATATAAACAGGTGTTTTTCTATGAATTTTTCATATTCCAATATGCATTACAGTTCTTTGTATACACGTGTTCTCTTTCTCTCTTGCTAGATTGTAAGCTCCTTAAAAGCCAGCGGCCCTGTTTTTATAATCTCAAATACACCATACCTTGAACATGTTATGTGAAGGGCTTTAATACATGTTTACCAAATCAAGCCACATCACAACAGCATTTCATCAAAGAGCATCCTCTCCAAGCAGAGTCAACAATTTGTACCAACACATTCCTCCAATGCTTTATTTTATCTAAATGTATTACCTCAGTCATCCCTAGGCTGTTCTTTAGTCAATTATCTTTTAACATATAACAAAGAAAAATTGCCGTACAGAAATCAGACAAAAATTCGACACAGCTTAGAAATCACTCATACAGTAAATTATGAAATTAAAAAGACCATTCTTTCAAAAGCTTGCTATGAAAAATAATTTGGAATACATCTTCTCCTTGATAAGGTGAGCAACAAAAGATATATAAACAAATAGTCAGATACTCATTCTATTAGTGAGCTAACTGATTAACAAAGGTTCAATGCACTTATTTAACATTAAAATATGGTGATCAATTCAAAGGTATGGATTTGACATTTCATCCTTAATGGTCAAGATAGTATACAAAAGTAACCTCTACCAACATTTAACTAATGTCTAAATCATACAGCAGGATAGAATATTCATTGACTTTTTATTATATACATCTCATTTTAATAGGTCTTTGTATCATATTTCTCAACATTCATACAGCTTTGCACTATAAATACCATATTAAAATGTCCCAAGCTGAGAAATACAGAAAGTTTAACAAAATCAACATGCTAGCATTCTTTAGCACAATCCTTTACACAGTACTTTGTACACAGTAGGTACTTAGAAATAGTTGTTGAATTAAATTCTTTAGTCTTTAAACCTTTACTTATTGTGGATAAAAGCACAACTCATTTTTCATCAAAGAAATCTAACTTTTACAAGACATTAAAATTAGAAAACTGCAGAGTACAAGGTTCATTGAAGAGTCAAGTTTTCCAAACATTCACAACAGGCTTAGCTAAAATGTGACAAAGACCCTGTAACTGGAAGGCAGTACCAGACATTAACTGGTTCAGCCCACAGGCCTTAAGGCAAGCATGAGAGCATCCCCTACAGATAAAGCAACTGAATCTTAAGGAGGTTAAAGTTTTAGAGCTCAAAGACACCTAAAGGATCATTAAGTACAGTCTGTTTATTTTACAGATGATGAAACTGAAGCCTAGAAAGGTAAAATAACTTGCCTAGTATATGTAATTAGTTAATAAGAATCAAGACAATTTTTCACTATTTTAGAGCAAATACAAATGTAGAAAAGTAATGTAATTTGATATACCTCACTTTCAACTAGAATTATTATGTGCTATGTAGAGTAGAGTTTATGTTCAAAACATAAACAAATGGACATAACCATTATAAGTTGCAATCCTACTCCCCAATAATCATATCATTCTTCACGGAGCTGAAATATTAGAAGAGTAGGTAGAGTGGTGATTCTTGTCACTAAACCACTTCATATTCAAATGTGACCCTAAGAATTTTGGTATATGACAATACCATGAGCAGCATACACAAAGAACAGACAATAAATTATTGATACCATAAATGATGAATCAGGAAACCAAGTTTAAAGAGCAGAAAAGGGGTTGTTAAGAAAATCCCATTTTGAGTATTTTTGTCTGCTTCTTTACATTATGGTATCAATCACTTCCCTGTTTTAAAGGTCAGTACTCATGTTTCACAATAATTCTTGAAGTCTTACAAATATAAATATTCGTCTGTTTCAAAAGAACACAGACTTGGGGCAGCTAGGTGGCACAGTGGATAGAGCACCAGCCCTGGATTCAGGAGGACCTGAGTTCAAATCCAGCCTCTGACACATAACACTTAACTAGCTGTGTGATCCTGGGCAAGTCACTTAACCCCATTGCCTAGCAAAAACAAAACAAAAAAAAAGAACACAGACTTATACAAAACTTATCTGAAGTGTCATTAATTACAGAAACTTACTTCGGAACTATTGGTAACAGACTTTTATAACCACAATCGGTTCCAAAACAGGATTGGGGAAAAAGGTAAATTACTTTGGGGACTAAATCAAGGGTTCCTAACAAGGAGTGGGAGTCTGGTTAAATTTCAAGGAATCTGTGAACTTAAATGAGGTTTTTTTTTAACATCACACCTTTATTTTCACTAACCTCCAACTCAAGGATAAGTTTTAACCTGGGTGTGTGAACTTTTTTGTTTTCCAAAATACTTCGATAACTGCATTTTCAACATGATTAGTTTCCTTTGTTATCTTAAGTAATTTATTTAATGCACTGGAGAACATTAATCTATGAAGGATCCACAGGCTTCACCAGATTGCCAAACAGGTCCATCACCCCACACCAAAAAGATTAAGAACCCCTGCCCTTTCCTAAATTTAGCATTTCTTTCTATTATGAATGTAGGCAGCCGATATCTATGACTCCATCACCAAGAAAATCACGGACATTTTCATATCACAATACAGCTGTTGCCGAGGTCTCAAATACCAATTACGCACATCACTAATTCGAAATTATATTTTCATGCCTTAAAAATGCCTTCAGGCATTTTCATAATACTTAAAATAAGATCATAACAGCATAAACCAAACAACCAAAAGCATCGAACAGCTTTAACCGTAAAACATTTGACATGGGTCCCTAACAAACAGCCAAACGCTGCTCCAAAGGACTGGCAGAAGAATCCCTGGAATCAAAGGCTTTCCAAGTTGGAAGGGAAGCAAAAGTTAAGGGTAGAAAGGGGCCCTTCCGCTATCGTCTAGTCCAATTAGCTCGTTTTCCAGTCAAGGAAACTTAAGGCCCCAGAGAAGAAGACAGCTATATAGATGTGGAGTTTATCTCAACCACGATCTGCCAAGCTGGGGATCCCTAAGTTTTGCAGACTACGAAAACCTCTCTCACTCCTCCTCGGAGGGGCTCGCGTTCCTACTGGGCTAAAAGGGAGCAAACTAATGAACCCCCCCCCCCGACTCCAATAAGAAAAGTTGGAAGGTGGCACGTGCCTCCAGCCGGGGCAGGTGGGTAGCAACCTAGCAATCAGGGGAGGGGGGCGTGAAAACGAGAGACCCCAGCACACCCTTGTCCTTCACCTCCTACCACATTCCTAGCCACGTATAAGCCCGGGAGCAGGGACCTCAGGAAGAATGGAGGAGAAAGGAGGGGAAGGTGTGCAAGGAAGCATCTCCCGACAGGTCTGTGGGAACGGAGGGCTCGGTTCGGGGGGCAGCGGACCCGCGGGAGGAGGGGACACCTGGCGCGCCTCCCCCCGCAGCTCCAAGGGAGCCACGTTCCCTAACCCCGACCCGGAGTACGCGCGGGCGCCGCGGCTGGAAATGTCCCTTTCGCCTCTCCTTAGGCGCCTCCTGTCTCCCCTCCATTCAGGCCTCCCTCCCTCCCTCCGTCTCTCACCCTGGTGATTGAACAGTCTCCATATCCTGGTGAAGAGGATTCCCATCCTCAAAGCAGCAGCTCCCGCCCCGGACACCCAGGCCGCCTCCCCTCCCCCGGCTCAGTACCCGACGGCCAAGGGGAAGGAGGAAGAAAAGGAGGAAGACAAGCCAGAGACCTCACGGCCTCGGCGGCTACTGCTCTTGCCACCGGCTCGCTCTACGAGAGCCGGAGGGAGGCCGAAGGCCAGGCTGCTGCGCTGCGCATGAGGCCCCGCCGCCGCTACCGCCGCGGCGCGCTCCGGGCTCGCGGACATCGCCGCCTCGTCGGGAAGGAGCCTTACCGGCCACCGTCACCCCCCGCTTCCCCCCCACCCCCGAGGCTGGTCTCCGGCGACGGCGGCGGCGGCAGGGGGCCACAGCACGTGGGCAGAGAGGGGCGGAGCGCAGCCCAGAGAATGGGTTGAAGGGGGCGGGGTGTGAAGGAGGACGGGAGGGCGCATGCGCGGTGGGCGGGGGAAAGGAGGGGAAAGGAAGGGAAAGGTAGAAGAGACGCACTTGGAGTAGTTCATTTGCATAACGCCTGCCGGGCGGGGAGGTCAGGTGGTTGGGGGAGGGGCCCACGCTGCCAGTGTCCCAGGGCTGGAACCTCGAGTCGGGTCTTATCTTCCCCGCCCTCGGAGTTTGGACAAGTGTGGGCTGCTCCTTCCACCTACGCAATCCCTGCTAGGCTTTTTACTCTTGGAATCACGACTGAGAATCCTTGGGACTCCCGCCCAATCTTCGCTCCTACATTTACACGATGGCAAAAAGGTGCCCAGTAGCTCCAGGAGAAGCGACGCAGCCCCGAGGTCACCTTGCCTAAGCCCTGGTCCCGCGGCAGGGACGTCCAGAGAGCCTGCCGGCCAGTGGTCATCCAGCCTCTGCCTGAACCCGGGAGGCCGCTTGGAGGGGCGGAAAGTGCTGCCCTTGGACCACCACCAATACAACCCCCAAAAGATTATGATGAGGTCCATCTTTGAGGCTGGGCTACGCCTGCGGAATCCAAGCCCAGGCTACTGGTCCCAGGCTTTGAATGGGGCTGCAGCCTAGCCAGAGGGTTGGGCTTCAGGTTGTGAATTGCTTTCCACTCTTGTAATTCATGTAGCCCCGAGGCTTGCAGACTCTTTCTGGGAGTTCTTCAACCTCCTGTTTGAAATTTGCGTTATTTGGATCAGTCTATATTGACCCTGATGTCTATTCTCACTCTCCCCGCGTTCCTCCCTCCCCCAATGCTGTTGTTCTTTCTCCTTTCACTACCTGGACTCTATGCTACAAAATCTGCGCTTATATTTGGAGACTTAAAATTGTTCGTTGCAGACCTCTAATCTTTTCAAATACCCTTGGTTCATCGACCTCAACTCCCATGAGCTGCACCTTTGCTTCGCTAAGTAAACTACACATTAATTATATAATTAATTATATTATATTAAATTATATTACATTAAAAAATTGATAATAAATTAAGCCACACATAGGGTTGCTTAATTATATTTGTAATTTTATCATCACTCATGAGTGTTCCACTTCCACAATCCATACCTTTGACGTTCTGTCATCTGACTGTAACATTCCATCCTTTCAGCTCTTCCTGTACGTTATCCTTCCCAAACCTAGTCTTCATTTTCACCAAAGTCTCTCCACCTGGGTCTTGCTTTCCTCTGGACCCTAATATTTAAGAAATTCAACTTAATAATGCCCTCCATATTCGAGCCTCTTCCTCTCGTCTTGTTTATTCATTCCTTTCCAAACCCCAACCCTTCATTATTCTCACCAACCTTTTTCCTTGATTCCGCTCTGATTTTGCTTGTTAAATACTGTGGAACAATCTTGCTACCTGGGACCACTACAGATTTATATTATGTAACCTGAACATGGCTGCTGCCATGTTATACAAATCTTTATACTTTTCCCGCACTGAATCTCTATTTCATTTATCACAGCATCTGTTTCAAACCTCCACTTTCTGCAGACTACCCTTTCCCCACTTCCTCCTCAGCTGAGGAATTCACTTCATACTTGTCAGAGAAGAGTGAAGCTATCCTTCTTGAGTTCCTCCCCAGTACTACTCTTCAGATCATCCCCTATTCAATCAATAGTCAAACATTCATTAAGTGTTTGCTTTGTGCCAGATGCTGTCATAGGCATTGGGAGTAAAGACTTTAAAAATGAAACTCTCTAATTTCAAAGGACTTACATTCTATCATAATAAACAACATGTACACATGGACACACACATGTTTACTACCGTCCTTACCTCACTACTATATATGTTAGTATACTATATACATACATGTATATGCATATACATATATATATACACACACACACACATATATATATATATATATATATATATATATATTTGTATGCTACCCTGTATTATATGATAGCAGTTGATAGATCAGGAAAAGCCTTGCATAGAAGACTTTATCTGCATCTTGAAGGAAGAGAGGGATTCTATAAGGGAGAAGAGAGTGAATTATATGCACAAAACACAACTAGTGTAAAGGCACTGGGATGGAGATGGAAAATAGAGTGCAATATTGAAGAAGAGGAAGAAGGTCAGTTTGGCTGGACCATAGAATGTGGAAAGGGGAGTAATGTATAATGGGACTGGAAAGATGCATTAGAGGCAAAGTATGAAGGGCTTTTAAAAGATAAACAGGAATTTATATTTTACTTTAGAAGCAACAATGAGGAGCTTGGGAGTTTATTGAGTAGAGTAATATAAACTCGTGCATTTTTGCCCTCAATCCTATTTCCTCCTATCTCTTTGGAGGCTTACCCCCATAATCATCCCATCTCTCTCTCTAATTTTCAATCCGTTCCTTCACTGGCTCTTTTGCTACCTACAAATGTGCTCAGATACTCCAGTCCTTAAAAACCTTCCCTGGATCTTACCATCTTCTCAAGCTTTCATCCTATTTCTTTCATACTTTTATTGACCTTCTAGAGAAAGTTATATACCATCATTGGTTTTAGTTTTTCATCTCCAACTCACTTCTTCACCCCTTGCTAGTTTGCTTCTATCAGTCAATGAAGAAACATTTATTAAGCACCTCTGTATATCCAGTATTGTGCTAAGCACTGGGTATAACAAATACAAAGAATAAAACAATCCTCTCAAGCTTATAAGGAGTTTTCTATCAGGGAGACATACATATATAAGTATATACAGAATAAATCTATACAAAATAAATACATGGAGTTAAATACAAAGGAGTTGAGGGAAGGCTTTACTACCATTTGACTAAAAGTATTCTCTGAGGTCAGACTTTGTTATGGGCAAATCTAATGGCTTTCTTCAGTCTTCGTTCTTCCTGACCTCTCTTCAGTGTTTGTCACTGTTGACTATTCCCTCCTTCTGGATATTCTCTTCTCTCTGGGTTTTTGTGATACTACTGTGTCATTTTTCTCCTATCTCTCTGATTGATGCTTCTCAGTTTCCCTGAATTGCCATCTCCCTCTCTATTCATGGGGTACTCCAGGAGATGTCCTGGATTTCAATCTCTTCTATACATTCTTTCTGTAGTTGATCTAGTTAGTTCTCCTGAGTTCAATCATCACTTCTATGAAGATGACTCCTAAATTTACATATCCAGCTTTCATATCTTTTCTGAATGCCAGTCGAGCATCTCCAGCTGCCTGTTAGATATCTCTACCTGTCCTATAGGCAGCTCAAAGCAGCATGTCCAAAACTGAACTCATTATCTTTTCCCTTAAAACCCTCCCTCCTAATTCCCCCTTTTTCCTTTTTAGAACGCTACCATAATTAGTCTAGTTGCTCAAGTTCTGGAACTTAGGAGTCATGGTCAATTCTACTGGCACTAACCTTGGCATATCAGATCAGTCACCTCGTCTGTCCATTCTACCTCCACAGCATCTTTCACATCTGCTCTTTTCCCTCCACCTATACCACAACCATTCTAGTTTTGGCTGTTGCAATACTAGTCATTTTGCATCCAGCCTCTCCCCTCTCTAATGTGACCTCTATATAAGTACCATATTGATATTCCTAAAGCATAGGTTTGACCACATCATTTTCCTATTAAAGAAGCTTCAGTGGTTTCCTATTGCCTCTAGTATAAAATACAAACTGCCTCAAGCTCCTATATGCTTATTATACATTGCTCAAATTTCATCTTACATTCCAAATCATCTACTTATTTCCTATACATGATAATCCATATCCCATGCCTGGAAGGCCTTTCCTCCTCCACTCCAGTTGGAACCTCTAGCCCTCTTCTAATATCATCTCAAATGCCATAGCCTAAAAAAAAAAAAAGGCTTTTCTAAATTCCCACTGTAGCTAATGTTCTCTGGAAATTACTTTGTATTTATTTTGTATCTATTTACTTTTCTGTGTATACATGGCATCCTAGTGCAGTCTCTCAATCTTATATGGGGAAGTGAGAGAGAGGGAGGTCAGGGGCAGGGAAGAATTGAGGGAACAACCTATACAAATAGGAGTATATGGCAAATGTATACAAAATAAATGCAAAGTAGTAGGGAGTACTATGAGCTGTGAGGGTGGAAGTGATGGGGTGTTTGGGTGCCTGTGCTTGGACCGCAATTTCTCCCTGGCCTCAGAAACACTATCCCTGGCAGTTTCCCTCCAGCCCAAGGACCCTATCTCTGGCAATAGCTCATGAGTTGGGCCCAGTGAGGCGAACTATCTCTCCCTGTTATAAGAACAAGCTGACCTCTGTAGAATTTCCCTTGTATGAACAGGACTATCTTATACCAGCAGAACTGTCAAGTACTGATGTCAAGTACTGATTACCATATACAATCCAGAGGTCAAGCTACAGATGTCAATTCCTGAAACTATCTTGTTACAGACATAACAGACCAAAAATATACCCTTTAGGAACCCTCTCTTCCTCTCCCACACCATTTTCCAGTAGTGAATGACTCCTGTGCCCAAGGTTGCATATTACCACCTAATTAGCATACTTGCCACATAATTCACTACTTTTCCTATATGAGCTTTAGCATCATTCCTGTTAGGTTGCAAGTTTCCTAAGGAGCTCTGCCCACCATGACAGGTTCATTCCTTGAGAATCCTTTCCCTCTGTATAGCATAACAATCTTTGCTACATTGACTTAAGAATGCTTGGCTCTGTGAATTCATTCCAAATAACCCTGTCCTGTACTCCAGTCCTTGATGGGTCTAACCTCTCAAACCACAACAGAAGGAACCACTTATTTTAAATTGGCTTATGCCAAAACTGTGTCTTCATCTTTGTCATGTCCATTACTTATGGGTGTACTCTATCCCAGACTGTTTTCTCCCCCCCAAACTATCTTATTTGGTCATCTCAGCTGCTCCAGGTTTCAGTTATCATCTCTATCTAGATAATCCCCATGTCTATTTATATCCAGCTCTAGTCTCTCTCCTG